CACAAATTTGGCCTCGTCATTCCCAAACTGGTTGCCGGACGAAATTCTCTATGCGAATTGCAAGCCAGGATTGGTAATAGTAACATAAGATACGTACGGCGGAATTCCCTGCCATAAATAAAATGATTTGGCTGACGCCAAAGTAATGCGAAATAGGTGCAAAGAGTTTTGCGAAAAAAAGCGTAAACCGAAGAAAAAAAAAAAACAAGAAAGGAGAAATAAGAAAAAAATCTCTGATGACGTGGCAAAAAAAAAAAAAAAAAAAAAGTCTGTTTATGTGATTTTTATTGTCACGTGACCGAACAAACAAAAAATAAACGAAATAAAAAAAGAACACGAGAAAAAAACCATCCCCTGCCCGGTTTCGAAGCTAGGCCCTCTTGATCGTGAAACTAGCGCGCTATCCGTTGCGCCAACATAACTTTTTTTTTCTTTCTTTATTGCAAGTTGCGCCAACATAACTCTGCCTGTAATGCTCACGCATTCTCCCATCATAGGAGAAAGCTTAGGTGCCTTCGTAGTTTTTCATGCTTGTGTTATTTTTATTTGTGGCAAGAGTTCACGTTCCAGAATGCTTTTAAAGTTTTGGAGCAAAACGAGTTTTCTTCATCCGATTCACCTTCTAGAGCCAGTAGACCGCACTGGGTCGTCCAGCTAATCAAGCAGCTATTTTCAAATTCTCTGACGTGCCCGTCCTCGCATCCGAGGTCGCCGTTTGACAAGCTTATCTTTCTTCCACCTGGTAGCCGGAACCCCCACGGCAGCTTTGTTCCGTCTCCACTCCCTCTCGAGAGAATGACTCGCCCAGAGGCTAATCCCATTCTCTAGACGCTCTTTCCATCCAACGCTGACCCTTTCCCTCCCCGTCCCCCAGCTTCGCGAGAGAAGGTTCTTTCCTGCAGAACGTCCCGTTTGTACAGTGGCCTTTAAAACCGAATTTCTGAAAATGAATTCGGAGTACTTTTGTCGTTTTTTATCGGTATCAACCGAAAACTCCGAACCCTACACATAAGACATGGGGATCGGACAGAAACTGCCTCCTTTGGCTATACAGTGCTCTTATTCGATCCCATCTGGACTACGGAGCTCCAGTATATGGTTCCGCAAGACCGTCTGCTCTTAGGATGTTTGATCCCATCCATCACATTGGCTTATGACCTACAACAGGGGCTTTTCGAACGTTACCTATCCTTAGCCTATTCGCAGAATCAAACGAAATGACGCTTGAGAGGAGACGCCAGTACCGCAGTTTAACATATGCTTGCAAGATACTAGCTGACCATAATCATCCAACATACCATTCAGTAGAGAAGTCCAGATTCAGCAGTCTTTTTGAAGACAAACTTAGCGTTACTAGACCGCTGAGCTTTTGTGTTGAGCATTTTCGTTCTTCTCTTCAGCTGGGACTGGATGAGGTTACCCTTAAACAGAATGTAGAGCAGGTTTCTCGCTGGGACGTGCAGCCAGTTGCTTGTGACTGGACATTCCCAAAGTTCAAAAAGCAAAGTGTGTCAGCCCAAGTTATTGAACAAGAATTTTATGAGGTTGAAAAGAAATAGGGTTATGCCCACTTTTATACCAATGGAGCCAAAATATCATCATTTGTGGGCTGTGAAGCTTACTGCGATGGCTTCATTAAAGTGAGACGTCTTTTAGCCCTTGCTAGCATCTTTACAGCTGTACTTCATGCTGTTTCCGTGGCTCTAGACCATATCTTGAAGAAAATATAAAGAGGGCTGTTTTATTTGTTGACTCCAAAAGTGCTATCCGTGCAATAACCACTCTGGAAGCTTCTAGAAATCCGCTTGTACAACATCTACAGTGTAAGCTTAACAGCGCTTCATGTGGGGGCCATATTATAAGATTGTGTTGGGTGCCGAGTCACAAAGGAATTATGAGGCTGACAGGCTTGCTACATCCTTGAGTGACCTTCCTCAGTCTCACGCAGGCTTACCCTACCAGGCAGGGGTGTAGCCAGGGGGAGGGCCTATGTGGCTTCAGCCCACCCCTCCCCCCCCTTCCCTGAAATCAAGCTGACCCTATATAATACCATACACATGCATTTTTATCCCCCATCCCCCTCTCCGCACCCCAAGTCATGGACATCCCAGTTACCTTAGCCCCCCCTGAAAAAAATGCCTGGCTACGCCACTACTACCAGGACATCAAACCTTTAATCAAGTCGTCACTTTTTCAGTCACGGCAGGCAGTATGGGACATGGAGTGCAAAAATAAGCTCCACATGACCAAGCCGGTCCTCGGATCCTGGGAGAGCTGTTTAAGAACAGTTTTCATGAAGTGTTGATGTGTCCGCTTCGAATTGGCCACTGTTATATCACCCACAAGTATTTTCTGTCCGGGGACGATCTATCTGTTTCTAATCGCTGTGGAGACTCACTTAGCATTCTTCAAATTTTGTGACTGTGTTCAGAACTTAAAACAGATTGCCATAATCATTTTCCGTAATTCTTTCGTACCACATCCATTTCACCCAGCTCTCTTACTGTGAAACCATCCTCTTGTCCCCGTTGAAAGACTTGTTGCTTTTATTGCTAATACTGGCCTCATACACCAGATTGTTTTACCTGTTATTAAAGTTGCTGTTTTGTAGCATTGCGACCATAGTAGCTTGATTGTCCTCAGTTTGGCATAATATGGCCTCCATTGCTTTTGTGCCATAAACCCTTCAAACACCACCGTCTTGGCGGTGAAGCCCTCCTTTTTTATGCGGGCAAGAGTATGCAGAATCACTTCAGCGCAGCAGTTGTCGATAACAGGAGCTTCGAAACACTAGCTTCACTTCTCCACGGCTCTCGTGGAGACATTGGCCAGTGTTCTACTAACTCGTGTTGCTCTCATCAATCTTGAAGAGAGCCTTGCCTGATGTCTGCTAGACCCAATGGTAATGACCTGATTTCACGATAGTTTGAAATGACGCCTGATGGGATTAATTTCCGGAATATCCCAAATTGCAACATGTGACGCAGGGAATTATGGGGCTGCCTTGAGTGCTTTGTGTAACTTAGAATTGCACAATCTATTCCCTCTTATCCTTGCGAGTATAGAATGCAAAAAAAAATAGAAGGAATGCAAAGCAAATTCTATACATACTTCGTTTTCTCATCATCCTGCCTTCTTTGAATTCTTAAATGATAAAAAATGTCAAACGAGCATCTCCTTTCTGTAGTCGTCGGTACTATATCACGTGCCGTACATCTGATAGTCATAATGGACCAAGAAGGTGGCGAGGGCAACACAAATTTCTGGAATGGTTTTTCACGTTGCTGTCTGGTGCCCTGGTCATTTAAATGTTTGCTCGCAATAAAAAGGTGCGTTCATAGATTGAAATGAAGGACTGTGATCTCGACTGCCACTCTGAAACACTAATAGAAAACTGATCGTGCAAAGCGAGACAGTGACTTGAAATGCAGGGATTGTTTTGAGCAATTTAGGGACCGTGATACAAAGTGAGTTTGTCTTTCTCTTGGACTTGGTGAATTTCTTTGCTGTTACAGAGGAGAAATCTGAGCAGTGGAATTTTTTATGTGCATTGTACCTTCACTATTTAATGAAGCACAACAGAAAGGAAGGGAGAGATGAGGTCTAATATTGAGCATTTATTTTCTCACACGTTGTTGTCATGTTGATTCCATGTTTTGTGATGCACAGATTGTCCTGTAAGTTCTCTGTCATAGTCACTTGTGCTGGCAGTCTCTTCGCCTTCTGAATCCTTGGTATTGTGGGTGGCTTAGCATAACCTCTTGACCTGATGTCAGTCATCAGTGCTTTCCAAATGTGAAATGCTTCTTGCCTGTGTTGATAGTCCATCAATGTTTCTTCAGTGAATGTTTGTGACTTATGTATACCGGGTGTTTTTTTCTAGGACGTAAAATATTGAAACAAACACCACTGGGAGCAAAGAATTTTTTCGGAATAGCGTTATAGACTGGTGGACATCGGGACATGTGTACGAAGAAGCAATTTGTGGCTTCATTAACTAAAATTCGCTGAATAAATTTCTGTTTCTTTTTAGCTGGCATATTTCAATTGGAGATTTTTTAGCCCATTGTTCATATAGCCCAAATAAGTTAGATATTACAAAAAATTTTTTTTTTTCGAGTTGTGTTATAGCAGATTTCGGTAATTCGCCATGTGATAACTCAAATTTTTGTTTTCTAAAATATAGAAACTCGTTTGACGGTATTAACAATTCGCTACAAATCCCCAATGGAAATATGCCATCTAAAAAAAATAGTTAAGTTAGCTAAGCTGTGTTCAATAGCATTATTATGCAAATATAACTTTTGTTTTGAATATTTTCTATATTAGAAGAAAAAAAAACAATACTGTAAATAGTGGTGTTTCTGAGGGCTTAGCATTTAGTGCTTCTGCCAATACGCCGCATTTGTGAGCATTTTTTTTGCTATAAAATTTTGCAGTCGGTTTGTAAGCTGCTTTATTCGGACTGGCAGTATGTGGCAATCATAATACAGCAATATGCTTTTGTGGTCAATTTTTGTACTGTTGGTTTTTAGAGCACAGCTCTTAGCTGCTTGTTCCTGTGCTTTACGGCGTTGGCGTAACTGGAGGAGGAGGGGAGGGTATGGAACAGGAGGGGGAGGGGTACACAGGAGGAGGAGGGGAACCAGTAGGTCTATATTTGTGCATACATATATATTTCTTTCTTGAATTCTTCAGCACAGTATATCACAAAATCAAAGCATGGTATATCGCAATACCACAAAAGCTGCACTCTAATTTCACATTACAGAGATTTGTAAACGTCTTTCGTTTTTTATTTGTAAAATTTACGAAGGCAGAGTGACTGAAAGATGTAATTCACCTACATTATTTACTAGAGGTACTTTCTCAGCATACGAAATATCCTAAATTCTAGCTTTGTTAATTGCCACAGTGTCCAAGTAAAACGAAGCAAGGTTTTATTTGTTTCAGATTGTATTTTGATCGACTTTCTTTTCTTTTTTTCCTTTTTTCCTCAGCTGCCGATTGTGTATTTGAACAGCATGAGATCCCACTTCTTCAGAGGTTTGGCGACACGGCACTTGATTCCGAATCTCCCGGTTCCAGGTATCCTTTCTGCTCTGTTTCCCTGCATCGCAGCAATCGTGGGCACTGTTTTGTTTCATCTTGGATGAGGCATGTGCTCCGTTGTCGTACTGTCTCTAGTTTGCGTTCAAAGCACTTATCAATCTCGAGTTCAAAGTTTGGTAGCTAGGTACGGCTTGAGACCTCTTGCCTGAAAGACTTTGCAAAGAAGCAATCCGTAACTATTTTGTATTTTGTGAGCAACTTTCCTAATTGTCTGTTAAGCTTGATGGCTTTAGAGACTTAAAGGGGCGGTGCAGTCAGGGGCGAATCCAAGGGGCGGGTGTGACGGGGGCGGTCGCCCTCCCCCTACCCCCTTCTCGGAGGGCAATTTGACATAGACGGACCCCCCAGTGCACACGAAAGAATGGGAGAACAGTATCCGTACAAATTTTCTGCCCCCTCCCCCCTCAAAAAAAAACAAAAAAAACTGAGTTCTGGATTTGCCCCTGGGTACAGTGTTATTCAGTGTGAATATTTTTCACTTCACACAAGCTTACTGGCACTATGGGCCCCACGTAATCTCGCTCGCAACACCACTGACCAAGAAGCTTCTTTTTTGCGGTGTAAATTCAAATATAAAATCGAGAGTTTCTTTGGCATAGCACGGAGGTTGCAGTGTTGGCATTGTTCTTCGAGTGACAATATTTTGATGTGGTTCATAGAATGAACCCAAAAATTGCGCGAGTGCTCGAATTGGGCTCGTGATAATGAATAGCTCGCTAAGCATTATGGTCGTGGCTTACGTCCTATTCCTGTGATGACGATGGCCGAACCCTAAGAATGTTTGCAACCCTGTGCTCGTCCTGTGATTTGCCGACCCCGGCGCGTGGCTATAATAAACATTGCCGGCATATAAGGCCCCGGATCTTGTGGCCGCTTGTTCTTGCTACAAGTTGAGAGGGTGAATGCTGCTAGTTTTTCTTAAACATTTTCTGCAACTACCATTGCATGGGGAGCATGTTTCACGGGTTATAAATGTTGGGAATTCATTCCAAGCGGTATTTGCACAAAGTACACAAATTGTTAAGTGAATAGAAAAAGGATCCCACCTAAAATTTGTTTCACTGATTTCATTTTTCATTTTGAGCAAATTTTGAAGAATGTGCTGAGGTAATGGAACTTATTTTACTTTAGAATTGATAGTTCGACCTCTGCCCACTTGATTTACTCTGCATTGGCATTCAAACAGGAATGTTAAGGACACTCTTTGAGCAAGAAACGCTTGTAAAAGCAGCCAATCGGGCAAATAGCCGCTAAAAGAGCAAACATATCTGTTGGAAAGCACCATGGTGCATTGTTCCTCAAGCTTCCTTCACAACACCCCTAGAGAGCCCACGGTACAGAAACTGGATTTCTGTCCCTCTTGGAGAGGATCGAAAGAAAAGAAGCCATCGCAGCAGTAAGTTTCCCTCTCATGTTCTCATCAGCCGTACTGTAATTGCGTTGTTCTGGCAAAAATTACGCCTGACTGTGAACATTCGACAGAAATATGCATGTTTGGTTTACGCGGAAGAGTAATTAAAGGGAGACGTCCAGCCAAGCCCCAATTCGGGACCCATTGTTTCGAAGCCTACTCGGCCTCTTGTTCAAGGATGACTGTGGCAGTCAGGGTGTCTGAACTGAACGGAACCGAAAAAGAACTAGAGCGGAACAAAAATGCATACCTGCCATGTCTCTGGTATTAACCAGGGGACTCCCAAATTTTGATCATTTCGTATGGATGTACGCTTGACAAAAAAAAACTCTAATGCCCCCCCCCCCCCTTCCCTGCATTTAAACAAGGAGCTTTTGCCATTGCAAAGGACAACAGCAATGATAGCGAGGTGCAGCTGCATCTCATTAGCATGAGGAGTGCAATACAAATATTATGAAGTTGTCTTGACCTTCAGTCATTGTCAAAATGTCTTTTACCCCCCCTCCCCCCTCTTTCCCTGGTTTAAAAGGTTTCCCAGATTTGGTTTCTCCTAACTTGGCAGGTATGAAATTGTAATTGAAACATTATTTAATACTTTGTTTCAAAGTAAAACTGAAAAATATTTTTAGCACTTTTTTGTTTTAGGACATTGAAGTAAAAAGCTTTTTTAAGGACATAACTGGGACACATGCAATGTTTGCATGAAAAAAAAAACACTTTTTTTTGGTGCGATATTTGCGTTGTTAGACGCAATTTAGGTGGGAGGTCACAGCCTGTTCTAAGCTTTGCCCACAGATCAGTGGCCCCGCCCATTACTACTGGATTGGCTTGGCTGCTCAGAAGCCTATTGTTGCTATTGTCTCCATTTCCCTGACATCCGGTGTGTCTAGTCTGGAAGTCTGACACCATCTGCTAGTCGTATGAGCAGATGTGCGGCAGCCTCCGGCATTGTCTGCTACTCCACACCACCGTCTCTCATCGGTTGCCATGCACAGACGCAGACATAAAAGCTGTGTGTCGGTGTCCTTTTGCCTTTGTCCGTCTTCTGTTCTGCCTATGTCTAAAAACGTCAATAACGCTTGCAAGACACGACCGTGAGAGCAGAATTCTAGCGTTCCATCATGCACAAGCCCCGGTCCAATACGAGTCTTTCAGCGTCTGTCAAAGTGTGGAAAAAGCGATTGAGATGACATAAAACAAAATCATAAAAATAAATACCTATGTAGTTTTTCCAGCTTTTTTGTTCTTATTTTTTTTTTTTTTTTTGCAAGGCATCCTTGAGCAAGGTGGATGAGCGTCACGACGCACAACTAAAATGCGACCTAAACCTATTCACATTGGCAGACCAGGTGCAGTGCAAAACTTGAGAGCTACTTTCATTTCTAATCAAAATGACGAGAACAAACCTGTACAAACTTGAGGCGAGCTGAACGCCCGATTGCCTCGAGCCAAATCGCTCGCAAAACTCTTACCCGTCTAGGTATCTTCTTGATATTGAAACCATGGTTGCAATCACAACTGTCGCACAATTCACAGAGAAGCGGGGCCACTTTTACGGGAACCAATGTTTTTATTCGGCAACAATACGCGCAAAGGAACAAATCAAGCCAGATCAACCAACATAGTTAAAGTGGGAAGCTAGGCTTAGGCCAGTCCCACTACCGCCTGCTACAAGCCCAAACACCCATAGAGTGCCAACAGTGGTTCCGAAGGCATGTACTTGCAACAGTTTGCTGCAAATAGACCAATCTCACCAAGCCTCCGGCGCATGCGCGAGTCCGCCATAACTTTAGTTCACAGTAGGCAGGCAGCAGTGCCCGAGATGGCTGGTGCCATCTCAAGCTCCGCACACGCAGAGCTCCAGCGTGGATGTCGCACGTGTAAGAAAACTAAAGTTCCCTTCATGCATTGCGGCAGCAATGGCGTAGCCAAACTCGCTGGTGAGATCGGTCTATTTAGATCGGTTGAGGAGATCTTCGTCTAAACACCTTGGTGAATGCAGAATGACTCGGACTCAATAAAATAGGCAAGCTCGACGAGCTGCTCTCGTTGATCACTCCGCGAACGCCGGCAGCCATGTTTGTTATCGTTTGAAACAGAAGTGGAAAGGCAATCTTGGTATATTTTTGAAAAGAATAAGGACTCTATCTAGATTATTTGTTTCTGAGACATAAAAATATTGTTGATTAAAATACTACCACGGCACAGAGATAATTTTACAACCAACATTTCACACATCGATCATCTCAAAGCAATGAGAGCCGAGAGAAGGTGCATAGTTTTATAAGCCAAGGGCAGGGCCTAGAGCAGGGCTACCCCGAACTAAATTGTGTCTGACAACATAAATATATATAAGAAAGAATTGTGGGAGCAACGCCTTCCAAGGACCACGAATGCATTGACATTTTGGGAAGAAGAAAAGTAACATCGGAACTGTACACTTTAGTGCAAGTAGCCCTTGGTGTACCAGCCATGCAGGTCAGCGTGAAGCAGGCATTCTTTGCACTCAAGCTTATTTTATTGGAACAGATGTTTTGCATTTCACCGAGTACACTCAATCAGTTGCTGCTTCTGAAATCATGCTCAGTGCCTTAAGCCGTCTTTTACCCGAATTCTTTCCTTTTCCGCCGTTGCAATAAGAGCACTCTTGCTGAGGCTTTTAAATTTTTTCTTTTCTTTAATTTTGGTTCCGAACTTTTGTTCGAATGCAAATACAAACCGTTGCTGACTATCATTTTTTTGTTCCGGAGCAGAACCGGAATGGAAATTCTTTTTATGGCACAAAACTGAAACCAGAACGAAAAACGTTTTATTTTGACACTCTGGTGGCGGTGGCCGTTCGGGAGTAGTACTTTCATTTTCGTCTTCTACGGTGGTTCATTTCTCTAGATCGACGATGCGGAAGCCCGTTGATGTAGGCAGAGGGCGATGCACCGAGGGGACCGCTAACGTTTCCCGGCTATTGCCTTAGTATTTGCCTTAGTGTCATTGCCTTTGTATTTACACCACACACACTTGCAGGCTTGCACTGCTGAGGCCTCAAAACCGAAACTCTCGTAGCGTAATTCGTGACTGCACTTGCTGCTACCCAACGTTATTACTACCCAACCTCGTTGTCACGCTGCTTCTGCAAGAAGTCGCTAAAATTGACAGTAAACACACAAACTCAACACCGATACAATTATCTTGTAGAATATCACCTTATTTAGTAATAACTGCGCCAATATGCCTTACAGGTTGCATTTAAGTTAAGTCTGTCTGGTAACAATGTATTTTTGCCGATTCTTTGCCGAATCTTTAGAAAAGTTCGGCAAAAGTTTGGCTTTGCCGAATCGTAAGATTCGGCACCGAACTTTCGATTCGGCAAAACTTTGGCCCATCACTATAGAATACCCCGCTCAGACTGACCGGCTACGTGCATCGGCGAAACCAGGAGGATCTGCCAACACCAAAAGGATGTTTCCAATTTCGATCCATTCACTGAACACCGCAATGTTGAGGACCACTGCATTGACTTCAAGAACACCCGCATCGTGGCACAGTCAGGTTGTGCCAGAAGCAGTCAATAGGTCCCTCGGCGCTTCACCATCTGCCTTCATCAATGGGCTTCGAGATATCACCCATCCAAAGAGAAATGCACCACCGCAAAAGACAAAAACGAAGATGCTTCTCCTTGACGGCCACCACCATGGGCACCTTTGAAGAAGAGGCTGAGTTGGCCGCGAACACGAAACAAGTTCGAGCAGTGTGCACTTCCTTCGATCACAAGCAAATCTCTTTATGTAATACTCCGCATATTCTTTGTTCATTGCATGGATATAGGCCTATCCTGATTTGTTTTGCTCATGTTAACATATGTAGGTATGATTTATGGCACACTCTGTGACCTTTTTACTGCAGTAGCTCTCAATTCTCTGAAACTGCAAGCTGTCCTCTTTTTGCTGGGGCCGCATCGGGACGCTGTCCTCGTGCCCCTCTCTTGCGGACAGGTGCCAGAAAGTACATACCACATTGTTATTGTTGGCCGCTTAGAACAGTGGTTCTCAAATGGGGGTCTGCGGACCCCTGGGGTCCCTGAAGGCCTTCTTGGGGTCCTGAAGCCTTAGACCATCGGTCAAGCCGAGCACCAAAACTTTCTTTTTTTATTGGTGCTGTCTGCCGCCGCAAATCTGAATAGGCAAAACCATGCGCACTGAGTAAGTAGGGCTGATTATTCTCTATTTCAGGGCCGCAAAGTTTGTTTGCATGCATTTAGTTTCTTTTATTTGCCCTTTTTTCATTGCATTCGCTCAATACTGCCCCCCCCCCCCCCCCCCCTTCGTTGGATGGGGGTTCCCGAAACACCAGCGGTTGAAACCCACTGGCTTAGAACAATACCTCTCCGCATTTTTTTTTCAGAGCAAAGCCATCCAGCCTTCCCTTAATACTGAAGCAAGTCATGAGGAACAGTGATAGCCTTGATCGTAGACCAAGTGAAACCTGTAAGCTTTTTTTTTTCTTTTTTTAACCTTTTGCATATAACTGCAATTGTAAAAAAAAAGACTACTGATGCATCGTACTATGTCTTTGCAGACTTGTGTAAGTTTTGATTCTTTGTTTTTGCATGGATAAGGCTCTTGAAGTACAATCGAACTCAGATATATCAAAATCAAAGCGGATCATAACAAAGATCAATATATCGGTAATTTGATATACAAAAATAGGTTAACTTAAGCTCCAGCTAAAATTTCCGCGCCGTGTCTCTGCTAATACCGAAGGTCGCGACAAACGGGACCTTACCAAATAGAGCCTCTAAGAGCCACTAAACACAGTAGAGCTTAGTTGGTGAGGATCACAAACGCCGCCGCGTTTACGCGACTGTGTTTGCGATCGTTCACGCCTGGCCACTATTTCCACACAGTTCCGATAACAAAACACGAAAGTTTGTGACATGCTTGTCTTAATTAGGCTGTTTAAAAAAACACTTTCTTTTCTTTGCAGTTACCCTTTAAATTAATGTTACATCATGTATTGGGCAAATCTAGTTTCAAGTTCCCAAACTTTGTGCAAGAAGGTGATTTGGACGTGGAGCGTCCATGATTGGTTGATGGATTTGCAAAATAGTAGTAGTTACAAAGCGATGCACATGCCTTTTTCAGTCTCGTATGGATGCTTGTGGAATCATCTGTACCTTATGCTAGCCCTTGGTAACATAATGGATACTTTATTATGTGACCTTGTATCTTTACCCTTAATAGCCCCACAATAGTCCTTCAAAAACAATGATAGTAGGTACATAGCACAACAGTGTTGCGCGATGAACTCATCACCGATTACTTCCGTTTCATTGTCATAGTCAAATGTCTTTCATCAAAACTCGCGGTGTTGTGGGAAGTATACTTCCATGGGGCACCAGCCTAAGCGGTAAAATTCAGTTGCCTCCAGTACCCTTTCGTATTAAAATACGAAAAAGCTAGAGTGTGATGTTTGCACCAACGGCGTTACACAATGGATTATGTGTGTAGTGTTTTGCCTGCACCGCTATTTCACTCCCGTGCCCTCGTAGACATACGTGGTCGGAGCTCCAGGATGGGTCATCACCTCAAAGACGACAACAGCGACGATTCGCTGCTGCAGCTTCACAGCAACCGGACGACGCACCGACAGGCTGCGGAAGCTTTTGCAGTACGGGAGGTGGGTTTGTTTCACGATTAATTTGTCCCCCCAACATACCCCGGTAGAGTGCACATACCATGCACCATACTTCGGCCGCACGTGCATGCTCGGGGCTCGAGAGACGCCAAACTGCAATTGGAGGTTGTGGGAAGGTCGTGCTGGAGGCAGCTCTTTCCTGCCGTTCTCTTCCTTCTAGTGACCGTGGAGCTTTCATATTTATTTATTTTTTCATACTCTACAATTGCAATACTACTACTAAAATTTTTGTGTTTTCAGAGTTTGCTTCTCGTGAAATTTGGAGGTTGTTTTTCAGAGATTAATATTTCCGGAACTTTGGGGTTTAGTTTTGTCGTATCCCCAGTTTTCCAAAAATCCGAAATAAATATACTTAAGGGGGAACACTGGTCTTGGAGCTTTTTTTCTTATTTTATGACCAAACCCAATGAAACTGCACAAGCTTGTTCAGCTTTTTGTGCTGATTTCATATATCTGGTCATTTTCTCAGTCAGTAGAATTGTCCTCAAAATAAATAAAACTTGCCTGCCATTGTTTGGAAAAACGATAGAAAAAAAACTGCTCAACAAAATATTCTTTTTAACATATGGCTAGATACTACGAAGTGTAGAGAATACAATGTTGGAAGCACTTTTAAGATAAACTCATTATTAGTGATTTTACCACACATTCAAGTTCACTGCTCAATGCATGGCTAACAAGAAATAAAGCAAATGATCAAATATAAATTTTTCTAGACTTGTATCAAAAATTCTGCTCTCAACATTGTATGCTTCACACGTTCAGCTACACACTTCAGGAACGGTTATATTTCTATCTGCTCTAGATGCTGAGATATCCCTCCTGCAAATTATCAACGAGTCCAAAATTTGTGTTTTGTGAAAACAATGTTTTAGAGTCAACTTCAACGCACATTCAGCCCACATACACATTATAAAGTAATTTATAGCTCAAATATTCATCCATGAAATTACAAGCCTGGTAGACTCAGAAGAACGACAGCCATCGCCATTTTCAAAAGAATGCAGTTTTAGGAAGTTTTTGTCTCCAAAGACCCGTGTCTCCCCTTAACATCCGAAGACGGACGTCCGTATAGAAAATTAATTTTCCGGCTGGCTTTGGACTTGGTGCCTTTGTCGTCGGTGATACTAGCTGTCCCACGGTAAAACTTAAAAACTAGTGTTGCCTCAATAAACGTCAACATACGTTAAAACTGCGAACTTCCTGGGCGTAGTCGCTGGGAAGCTTGTTGCCCTCTCGTTCCACCGCTCCACTCTGCGTCCGTGCCGATAGTGTTGAAGAAAGGAAGTAAGACATAGTTTCACCCTAAAAGAAACCGCAGCAGACTTTCATGTGCCACCCCAGCCAATCAAAGCTAGTAATCCAGTGTTGCATGGCACTGGATTACTAGCTTTGATAGCTTGTAGCGTCCTGCACCCGACCGCCCCGATCCTATGAAATCTAAGAGTTCATAGCGTTCACCATTATAACAATGCAACCCCTCCCTCTAAGACACACAAATACTATGGATCATTGACTGTTCCGCGGTAGCAGCGTGATGCAACCCTGGTCGTGGTGCTTGTGCGCTTTGCCAAAGAAAAGAGACAAGGAACCATAGCCACCGCTTTGTGACGCTGCCAGTCCAGGGCGGTCTACGATGGCATGTTCATCTCTATGCGGATTGTGACTGTACTATGACTGTCAAACTTCTTTTGCATTGAATTTGAATTTTTTTTTTATGTCTTGTTTAGTTTAACTATAGTTTTGCACTGTCACTGTTGATTACAAAGAATTGTCTATAATTTGTTTTGGAGACCTGCAGTTTTGCCTCTATGTCTGCAGTTGTAGTTCTTTATGTGCTGTAGTGTTTGGTGACCTTCACATCGTTCTTCTAGGTCGGTGGCACAACTCCCGAACTGAAGGTGTCCCCTAAGGTAGGACAATTTGTTTCATTGTTTAAAAGAGGACACTACCCGTAAGGGTAAACTTTTGAATGTTTTGTGTAATACTAATTAGATTTATAGTATATATAGTGGCAGTTGCGAGGCAGAGTGGAGTGGAAAGCTTCATCTGTGTACATGAATTGTGAAAGAAATATATAGTAGTTGTTTTTATCTGGAACACACTGGCATTGTTTAGGAAAACTATCACTAGAAAACTAATGTAATACTCAACATTTTTCTTCACTAGATATGCAGCAGAATGCCTGGAGAGTGCAACTGTGAAAACGAAATTTCCTGAAAGTAGTTTATTTTATGCTAACATTGCACTGAAAATTTAAACAAAAAAGTCCCTTTTTATGTTGTCGACAGAAACCTTAACATCTTTTGTAAAAGACATCCAAAAACTAAAAAAAACAAACAAAAAACAATGCCACAGTTGCATTGCCCATTAAACTCCAGTTTAAAAAAAATCAATTGAGGGAGCCTCTCCTTTTGTCCCGTTACCGAACGATAGCTTTCCTAAGTGAAATGCATGCCAAAAAGTGGAATGGAGAAAAATGTGTTTAAAGTGCTCAAGCCTCTAGTTTTTCTTTTGCATTAGTAAACAAAAAAAAAAAAACACAAAAAACTATGCAATGTAAACAAATTAAAATTTCTGGGAATACTTTCTCAAATGTTGGTGGATGTAAATATAGACATTTTCCAAAATCAACTTTTTTTTGCAGAAATTAATTTTTTTGGGTAGTCCTTACTTGTATAACTTTAAAGGAATGATGGCTTTCGCAAAAGCGTCTGTTTGAACGACGATTCCTTTTCTCTCAAAGTAGAGCTAATCTCGCAGGCCATCTATGTGGGGTCAGGCTGTAGTCTCCGGCAGTGACGACCATGGCCGGTCCACCTTAACGACTGTACAAAGCGGGCCTGATCATGCTGACCAATCGACTTGCCTCGTGTCTTTGTATACAAAGTTCACGCAGTTTTCTTTCGCTCCTAACTCGGCGTTCGAGTCATAAATAGAAATATGTAAAACATTGCTGCTTGTTTAACCATTTCACCACGGTGATCATGCTTTGAGATTTGGTTAATTTGTATGCAAATAAACTTTTGGTTCTCTCGGAGATCGTTACGACCAGTATTTTAATGTCTACACTCGAGGGAAACTCTTTTTATTTCATTTCATTTATTAATACTGTCAGCCCGTGAGGGCTATCACAGGGATGGAAATCACAACATAAGAAACAAAACATACACTTTAACCGAAATAAATAAATATGCAACTCAACAGTTAAGAAAAAAAAAGAAACACCAGCATCATGCCACGAATAAAGCATGCACAAAAGGCAAAAACATGCCAGAGAAGAAAAAAGAAAAAAAAAAAGGAACACACATTCATTTTCAGAGACACAAAAATAAAATGTCTGCCAAATCGTGGTACGTAGTGGCTATCAAACATTATTTTCAATGCAGTTTAGAAATTCACTGGGAGATGTACATGACACAGTTTTATCGGGCAAAGCATTCCACTCTTTGATTGCTCCAGGGAAGAAATTGAATTTAAAACAATCATTATGGACAGATGGGCTTGGAATCAACATGCCATGGCGATGCCTGGATTCATTTTTGCAGATTTTGAAGTAGTCGGATTTATTCATTTTAACGTGATTATGAATAATTTGGAAGATAAATTTTAACCTATCAAGCTCAAGTTCTCGATTCAAGTGATGGAAGGTTGGCAAGCTGACATAGTTTAGTAGGCAAGTCAATGCGGCAATACAGTCGAATCTCGCTAATTCAAACTCTCTTAAGGGGGGATACGGCCCCGAAATTCCATTTTTTTCGAAAAAATGCATTTTTAAAAATTATTATATTTGGGTTCACTATATTCTGGAGCATAGTTTCAGAAAGTTTCATTTATAAATACGCAGTATTTATTTCGCAAAAAATTATTTTCGACAAGCTCGCGGCCGCGCGGGCTGCGCGCGGCGATCCGCCGAGCGAGCAGAACAGCGAAGTTCGGCATTTTCAAATTAGGCCTACTCCGCGCTCGTTCGACGCAGCCGAGGTATCTTACCCTCGTTGGAAGCGCCGTTTCTTCTAGTTTCTGCCCATAGAAGCTTGCTACATTGGAGGCTATCTGTGGCCCGGGAGAACCCCGTACAAACAAGCCGAAAAAACATGGGAACTGTGATACCAGCAATCCCATTGGTTGCGACCCGAAACGGGGCTCATGATTGGCCGCCTTCGGTGACGTAGCTCCTTGTTCGCCTGATACGCGCGCTTTCGGCTGCTTCTTTCGCTTCTGATCGTATCGCTACTTCGCCGCTGTTTAGATTCGTTTTCCCTTTTTGTTCCCGGTAGCTTTGTTCCCGGTAGTTTTTCTGCCGAGGAATGCCTGCCTCCAAGGTTAGCACTCGCAGTAGCTTTGGCCGGCGTTCTCGATGGCGAAAACCGAGGGGTCGATCAGCGGCACTCCACGCAAAGGACGGGGACCCGTCTCCGCCGGCACCATCGTCGCCGTCTCCGCCGCCGCCGTCACCATCACCATCTTCAAGCTCAAGTGCGGCTTTGCGGACATCGGAGCCTACAGCTTCATCTCCGAATGCTCATCGGCTTCCTGTCTCCTCCGAATCGGATGTGCTGACCACATTCGAGAAGAAGCTCAGCCTGCTCGATTTTGACGCGGGGACTACGGACGACCCGGAGCCGACAGACGCTCCCGTTGAAAAGCCGCTGGACGGCTATCGGCTCCTCAGTGTGTCGGCCGTGCAAACTCTTGTTGCGGCTTTGCTCTGCCCCAAGTGCCACGGAGAACTGCTGAGCTTGCGAGAAGAAGGAATTGGCGTCAACCTTCAGTTCGTTGTTAGCTGCTCGACTTGCGGAGACATCGTCACGACACCGCATTCACCGTCAATTGGCAAGTCTCGACAGAACGAACTCGCGGTGCGTCTCGGCGTCGTTGGAAGAGACTGTGGCATCAGTTTTACGAAGCTCACGAATCTTTTCGGGGGCCTCAACGCTCCGCCCCCGATGCACGTCAAGTCGTACCAGAAGATCGCGGCGAAAGTACACGATGCGGCGATGCAAGCGGCGAGTGACGCAATGAGGGACGCTGCGCAAGCCGTGAGGGACGCGCAACCGACCGGGAACCCGAGCGCCGGCAGCGATCGTTTAGATGTCTGCATCAGCTACGATGGCACGTGGCATAAACGTGGCCATACATCGCACTTCGGAGTTGGCGTTGCTATCGAACTGGAGACCGGCTTGGTGCTTGACTTTTCGGTCCAGAGCAAGTATTGCCACGGGTGCGAGTTGGGCCCCAATGAAGACGACGAACACTTCGAGGAGTGGGCAGAAACCCACAAGGCAACTTGCCAGAAGAACTACGAGGGATCGTCCAATGCAATGGAGGTACAGGCGGCTGCAACCATCTTCAGCCGGTCTATTGAGCTACACAATATGCAGTACGTCACTGTTTTGTGCGACGGCGACAGCAAGGCCTTCACGCATGTGTCCAGCCTTGACCTGTACGACAAGGACATCCACAAGGAGGATTGCATCAATCACGTAGCAAAGAGGATGTATGCAGGTCTGGAGAAACTCAAGAAAACAAAAAAAGGACTGGGAGGAAAAGGGAAGCTGACCAACGTAGTGATGAAAAAGCTGACGAACTACTATGCTTGCGCTTTGAAGGACAACGCGCCTGATGTCGTGAAGATGCAGCGAGCCATCTTTGCCAGCCTGTTCCACACGTACTCCACAGACGAGGAGCCCCGTCACGTGGGCTGTCCAGATGGCGAGGATTCGTGGTGCCATTATAACCGCCACAAGGCCCTTGAAGCAGCAGGGAAGCCTTCGACACCACGGCCACACAGACCAGCATTCTCCAAAGACGTTGCAAGAGAGCTTGTTCCAGTGTACAACCGGCTGTCGCGAAAGGAGTTGCTCCTCCGATGCTCCCGCATGATGACACAAAATGCGAACGAGTCTTTCAACGCCCTTATTTGGAAGCGATGCCCCAAGACGGAGTTCGCCTCCTTGCGAACTGTCGAGACAGCTGTCGCCCTAGCTGTCCTCGAGTTCAACCTTGGACCTAAAGGTTTCGAAAGGACGCTCCAAAAGATGGGCATCACCCCAGGAAGCCACCAGGAGAAGCATGCCCACAAGGCGACTCTGGGGAAGATCGTGAAGGCCAGAGTGAAGGCACAGGACTCATCAAAGCTCGCACACAAAAGACGGAAGCTGGAGGCTATTGCCAGGGAGCAACAGAGCCTGGAGGTCGAAGGTGCCACCTATGTCCCAGGCGGATTTTGAGAACAAGCCGCAAGCTGCTGCCAGCAAGCAATGCGCCCATGAAGTTGAAGGTGCCACCAATGACTCGGTTGGATTTCAAGTTTCTGGCATCGTCCGAAAATAAAAAAAAACAGAAGTTGAAACTTCAATTGCATTTTTCTCAGTTTCACTTTTTGACAGGAATTCTTGTTTTAGGAAAGCTATTGTTTGACATTCAGAATAATGAGGGACATCATTCAAGGTTCTCTGGGACTGAAATTTTCTGGGGAACAAGATAGACTACTTCACAGTTAAAAAAATACACTCCTTCATGAAAAAAAAAAAATAAAAAACTGAAACATGAAAATTTTAGAATTTTTTTTAAATTTTGGGATGTTGCTATTTTCATCATAATTGAATATTTTGCAATATATTTTTTATCTAGGTTGCACTGTGGGTATTGTTCTTCTCATTGAAGCAGGTAGTTTGCCACCAGCTAATATTATTTTTCTACGATAGACTTCCTAATGAAGTGTCTTTTTTCTGAAGTGTAAAAATCGTAGCATACTGTAAAGTTCACCGATAATGCTAAAACTTGGCAGATTATCCTTCCTCATAGTGCTGAAATAACCCTCAAAATTTGAACCAAATTGGGTGAAGGGTTCAAAAGTTGACCCTCCCAGGCCATATCCCCCCTTAATTCGAACTTCCCGATAATTCAA